TTCTCTTTCCTCTTCAGGGATAACAATAGTGCCTGGTTCATAGTGTTGTTGTGGGGATTGAATGAGTTAACCATTTATAAAGCCCTTAAGTAAAGTGTCTAGAACATAGTAGGTGTGTATCAATTTCCTGTGGCTACAGTGACAAATTACCATAAACTTGGAGCTTAAAACAATAGGAATTTTACAATTTTGGAGACCAGGGAGTCTGATATCCCTCTGGGGTCTCTAGGGGAGAATCTGTTCCTTGCCTCTTCCAGCTTCTGGTGGCTGGTGGCATTCCTTGGCTTGTGGCCACATTTCTGTGTTGTCTTTACATCACCATCTCTCCTCTGTGACTTCTCCCTGTATCGCTTAGAAGGACACTTGTTATTGGATTTAGGGCTCACCCAGATAATCCAGGATCATCTCCAACTCAAGATCCCTAACTTAATTACATCTACAAAGACTCTTTTGCCAAATATGGTCACATTCGCAGATTCCAGGGATTAGGACTTGGACCTACCTATCCTTTTGGGTGCCACTATTCAGTCCACTACGAAGTGCTAATATTAGTAATTGTTAAATTAAAAAATTAATTATTTCAGGATGCAGAGTAGTCTCAAAACTGTGATATAATGAAGAAGAAAACATGGGACCTGGAATAGAAGAATATGCCTTAGGTTTTTATATAATGTTGGCTGTTATATTAAGCCCTTTCACATGAACTGTTTCATTTGAGCACAGAGTGGTGTAGTGGAAAGAGAACTAGATTTGTAGTCAGAAGGCTTGGTTTGATTTCTGATTCCCCTTACTAGCTGTAGGATCATAAAGTAGCCTATTAACTTTTCTGAGCTGCTGTTTACTCGCTATAAAATAAGAATATTTGCTTTGCCTCTTACACGGGTGTTGGAAGAGCCAGAGACATAATGTTTGTGAAGTGCCTCGTAACTTGTAAAGAACTATAACAAATAAACAGTTCCCCTGATCCACACAAAGCCCTGTGTAAAGGTGGGCAGATATTTAGCTTCACTCTGTTATTAACAAACTGAGGCTCAGGGCATCTTAAATGACTTTCCAAGAACGTTCATCTAGATCGAGCTGAAGTGGAAGTGAGAGTGCTGCTGCTGGGTTTCTAGGCTGATTCATCTGTACTTTCCCTCTTAGGGCCTATACTGAGTAGCAGCTGACTGGGATCTCCACTGGGTCCACTGATCACCCAGGGGCTTCCCCAAAGAACACTACTAATGGATTCTCACACCTCTGAAAATGAGAAATAATGGAGACTGAACAGTTGTGTGTTATGTCACCTATGCATTTGATCAGCTGCTGGTGTGCTGTTTCTTATTTCTATCTCCGTTTCCGAATACTGGTCCTGGCCTGTTTACTTCAACCCTCTTTGTAAAGGCATGCTTTACTTCTCCACTATCAGTTTTCTAGGGAGACTGACCTGCAGAGGACTGGCAAAGTTTTCTTCCTTACTTGCTGAAGGCCTGTGTCCAGGTTAAAGTTGGTGGAAGCAGCCTGTACTCATTGGTAGGCCTGGGCTGCATTACCTGTTCTAGCACATGGCCTTTATGACAATGAGTCCATTAGTAGTGTTCTTTGGTCTCCAGATTAGAATTCTGTAGGGCCGGGCTTAGAAGTAGCCCTCCTCCTTCCGACAACAAAAAAAAACCTCCTGTCACAGCTCCTGGAATACCATTAGAGAACCATTGGTAGAGACTTAGAGAGCAGGAAGCACGGTCTTGTTTTTAGTAATAGCCTAGCCAGGTGATCTAGAGGTAGGAAAGGAGTGACAAAGGGGCCCCCCAAAAGGGAGCTGGGAGAGTACCTCCTGAAACACCAGGGTGCCTCCGAGACAGTTTTGCAGAGAGCTGGCCCTGCCCTGGTGTTTAGAATAATAACGCTCTTTGTGTGCTGCTAGCCCTCTTATATTTGAAACTTTGAGAGTTCTGACTTCCCTTCACCCCATCTCTCAGTGCTTCCACTACAATGGCGGCCAGTCCTGCATCTCCTTTTGCTGAAGCAAAAGTAGTCCTCCCCTCTTCTTCACTTCACCCCCGCTCTTCACTTCATATTCCCAGTCAAATGCTGAACCTGGATTTTCTCCGTCTCAGCACATCTTCTTCAGAAACTGCAGAGTACTGTCCTCAGTTCCCCAGCTCCTGCTGGACCCCCTCATCCTCCTCACTAGGTCCCTGCTTGTGTTCAGAAGCTCTTTTTCTCTGCTCTAGGCTGTGACTCCTCTGCATCCCTTCTTAGAGCTTTCCATTATTCAGCAAATCATGTCCAAGTTCCTCTCTTTTTCTCCAAAGCATTTCACCAAGTCCCCTGTAGCCTTACCGTACCCACACTACCACCACCACCTTTGCCAGGCTAATCCAGTCCCGTTTATCTTTGAGTTGTTGATTCCGACTTGTGGCAACCCTATGTGTGCACCACCGACCTTTTAGTTAATAGTCAAATGCCTAACCATTTGTGCCGCCCGGGGACTCTAGTTCAGCCTCCTTTGCCTTGAGTCATATCAGACAGACCCAGCATGGACTCTCTGGCTCTGTAACCGGACGCTTTTGCTTGTTTGCTGGCTTGTTTTTTTGTTTTCGTGGGTTTTTTTTTTTTTTTTAGAGGGTTTTTTTTTTTTTTTTCTTTTTTTGGTAACTTTAAGCCCGTTGCTCCTCAGTAAAATGTAGATGATAGATAATTATATAATGCAGGTACCTCATAGGGGTGTTGCAAGTATGAAGATACTACTTACAAAGCACCTGGCCAGTAAGTTGTCAATAAGTGGTAGCTCTCAGGAATAACAAGCATGACATCCATACTATTTTCTGATGTTTAACTCAGGCTAGGCCTTGTGCTTAGAGTACTGTGCTTTTGTCCTGTCCCTAATCTCCCTCCTTGACTTTATTTAGACATCATCCAAAATCCCAAATCATTCACAAAGTTTTTCTTGATTGACTGGAAGGTAGCAGTTTCTTCAGCTTGCTCCTTCCTTGGTTTTCACTTGGTGTACCTGCCATTCCTTTACATGTACTCATCCTTTGTGTGAATTGTAGTGTACTTAATGTCTGTTCTTTTTATCTTGGTGTCAGCTCTACATTGGTACTCTTCAGTACTGCTCATATGTGTCCTACCGCCATGGCACCAGCAAGCAACAGCTTTCGCTAATGATGGCCAGTTGGTCCAAGAGTGGTGGTAGTGTCTACCGAGGAGTGGGTCTTGTTTTCTCTGAAGTGATTTGACCAAGTTGTTCTCCAGGAGATGGGCCTCTGGGGCTCCTCTGCTGGACACTTGCATGTTACACTATAGAGTGTAGAAAAGTGGGCCAGTGGGCCCAATACTTGCTCCCCTGTTTATTCTGGTGCATGTGTTGACATAGTATGTTTTCTGAAATAGTCCCATAAAGACAGTGGACCACTAGCTGTGCTCTACCCTTGACTCTTGTGCCTCAGTGCGTTCTTCACATTGACACCCCTACAGCGCAGAGCTCCTCTCTCTGGGTCCTGTGTTCAACAGCAAATATTGGAGATAAATGAAGTTTGAAGCTTTGTGTGTCTTTCTTAAGACAGGCCTTTTTATAAACAGTGACAGAAGTCTTTAGTTATCTTTAATACTGTTCTATGTTATTTGAATTGCCAGTTAGCTATCAGGTGATCTCATCTCCCAAATTTTCCAAGATTGGACTTCAAGCATTCTTATTTCCAGCTATCTCAGGACTGAGTCTAGAAACCTATCTTCAGTGTCATACAGTTGACCTTACTTAAGTCCCTAGATGAAAGAAAGAAAGAAAGAAGCAGCATAGATTCTCTCTCTGTATTCTGTAGAGTGTATAATTTCCTTTTTATAAAAGAGCTTCTTCTTTGGTTTGTACCCTTTAAACTATTCTCCTTAGTTTGTATCTCTTTAGAACCAAGCCCAGCAGCCAGACCACTAGGTTTAAGACTTAATTAAATATCCATCATCATATCTAAAGCTTCAGGGTGGCAAACTCCAGCCCACAGGCCAAATGATGTGGCCTACTGCCCACAAGCTAAGAATGTTTTATACATATTTAAATGGCTGGGTGAGGGGTATCAAAAGAATGATTTTTCATGTTATGTGAAAATTGTGTGAAATTCACATTTCCATGTCCATAAATAAAGATTTGTTGGAACACAGCCCTGCCGATTTGTTATGTATTTTATCTTGACTGCTTTCATGCTACAGCAGCAAAGTTGAATAGTTGCAGCAGAGACCACATGGCCCACAGAGTCTAAAATATTTACTATCTTGCTCTTTGCAGAAAAGGTTTAGTGAACCCTGCTCTAAAGGCTCAGTGTGAAACCAAATATAGGCGATATCTTACTGTTCTTTTCCCTAGGACCACCTATCATTAATATCAAACAATAGGAAGAGATGACTGAGTTGTCTGTCTTCCTTTTTTACTTTTTTCTTTTTCCCTTCTGTGGTTCTCCAGGGCAAGTGCTTCATGGTGGGGGTAGATGGAGGAGATTTTTTTTGTGAACAGGTCTTGGGAAATCATATTAGAATCCCTTTTTAAGGGTGATTTCACAGTCATGATCAATAATACCCTTCCAGACAAAGCCTGTGTGAAGCTCAGCTCCTGACCCAGGGAGTTGTAGTCCTTGGACTGTGGACCAACTTGCTGTTAAAGTCCTTCTTCCATCCCCTCTGGCCTGGGTCTGCATTGTGTGTCCCCAGAACAACATGTACAATCTACCGCTCACCCAAACCAGAGTGATTGCTTCCTTTTGAACAGGCTTTCTTTGCAGTTGCTTCTTACAGCTACCCATTTATGCCAGGGTTTAGAGTAATCAGTCATTCTGCAGGCCTGTCCCCATTAACTCGCCCAGAAGAAGCTGGACATACATTTTATTACAGATTATTGCTCTATTGTTATTTCAGATCCTTTGTAGGGTTAGGCATGTTGGTCTGTATTTAGCTGTCTTGAGCGTTCAGTTGATCCCTTTCTTACACCCTCCTAGTACACTTACCATAGTACTTTAAATCTTCCTCCACAGGTCAGATACCAGGCCCAGGTTCCATGATGCCTGGGCAGTCCATGTCAGGCCGCATGATTCCCACCGTTGCAGCCAATATCCACCCCTCTGGAAGTGGCCCTACACCTCCTGGTATGCCTCCAATGCCAGGAAACATCTTAGGACCACGGGTGCCCCTCACAGCACCTAATGGCATGTGTAAGTAGCACGGTGGGGTGACATATTACCCCAGGTCTGTCAAGGAAGGGCTTTAGACAAGGGAAGAAGTCTTTTTTCTCTACCTGACTTACTTTGAATCTAACCCAGCCTGCTAATTCTCAGTGGTTTGGGAGATCTGTGGACAGTGCAACCTGAAGAAGACAGGTTTTTGGTCAGTGCTTTTTAGCATTCCTGATGAGCAGGTACACAGGTGGAGAGGGCTAAGTACTTCAGTCAGGCTTGTGTGCCACAGCCTTCATAGCATGCACTCTCCTGAGCACCGAGGTATGTGGAGAGGGAGAAAAGACATTTCTCTCCTGTTGCTGTTAAGTAGAGCCATGGCTCTACAGTAGTAGGCAGGCCACCGTGGATGAGTTGTGTTCCCTCTTCAGGCGTCAGTTTCCTCCACTGTAAGATGACATATGTGAGATTAGATCAGTGGACTTTGAAGTGCGTTGAAGAATGTTAGGAGTTTGGTATAAACCTCCTGGGTGTGGGATTGGGTGAATTGACCAGTGAGGAAGTCTGCACTTTAATTATTGGTTTCATGTGTTTTCATTTCTGACAAAATCCAGAGAAGTTTTAAAAACCCTGGCTTAAATAATCTCTGGGGTTCCTTTCTATGCTAAAGCAGCTAAAGTTGAAATAGTAAAGAGCCCAACACACTCAGACTAATTGTTCCCTTCAGGACCTGACCTAGTTTTGGCCAAAAATCCAAGGACTGCAGTTCAGGAGTCCTGGGGCCTCCCAGGATGTCTAGCTTGTCAGCAGCTGCCACAAGTGAAGCTCTCTGGCCCTGGTGGAAACAGTTAATCAGCAAGAAGTTATTGATAATCTGTTTTGTGCTCAGCTAGGATAGGCACTGTGGGAGAAAGAAAAATAAGAAGATACAACTTGACCAGGAAGGAGCTTTTATTTAAATAAAGAGATAAAATTAGCAGAGAGAACCGTTAAAACACAATAAAATTAAATAAGTTCTGAAAAGGTGTGGAGTGATCCCTGGAAGAGGTGGGTCTTGAAGTGGGGGCGGGACAGACTCAGACACCTTCTACTTCGCCAACCACTAGGGTTAGGGCACCTCAGCAGTGGCCTGGAGATTTGGACCTGCCCCACATAGACCACAGCAGCAAAACGCCTGGCAGGGTGCATTGGTTACCTGCCCGAAAGGAAATTACCTCCTCTGTCATTTTTCTCGGAATGGGCTCTTTCCTTAGCCCCTTGCATTTCCAGCAATGACAAGTTCCTCTTGGATGTGTTTGCAGATCCTCCACCACAGCAGCAGCCGCCACCACCGCCCACAGACGGGGTTCCTCCACTTCCTGCTCCAGGCCCACCAGCCTCAGCTGCTCCCTAGCCTGCAAGATAGATGGAATGTCCATGCCCAGCACCACCAGCTGGAGTGGGGATGACAAGACTTGTGCTCCTCAACTCCCTTGGGTTTCTTCAGGATTTTTCTTCTCGCAGCCCCAAGCACGCGTCCTGTGTCTCTCTATCCCTTCTCCCCTGAGCCCCCTCTGTGCTCTGACACCTCTTGTGTCAGGTCCTCAGCCAGATCTCAAGGAGAAGCCTGTGGTGACAGTGTGCCCTAGTCATCCTAAAAGTAACTGGCGTCTCCCCTGTCCTCGTGTAGCGGGTAGGTTGCCAGTTTCATCTATAGGTCCTGTCAACATAGTATGCTATAATTTTTGCTCTTCTGCAGTTTTTTCCTTTGTCTTTTGCATCTATTGATAATGCTTTTCACGATCATTATCTTCTTTTTTCTTCTGTTGTCATTATTGTTTTAAAAAAGAGCATCCTAAGTTAATAGGAACCAAGAAAAATGGTGATGGGCAGGGGATAGCCACAGGGGACAAACTTTAAGGCATTATAAGTGACCTTATTTCTGCTTATCTGAGCTAAGAACAGTGCTGATGGTGAAATCTCCTGAGACATTTGCCACACTTACTCGCACCAAAATTACAAGACATAGGGAAGAGGGACCCCACTGATTCTGTTCTCTTGTGAGGGTCTCCACCCTGCTGGCAGAACATATTACTTTAACTAGTACGTGGCAGGGGAGAGCACAAACATAAGAACAAACCCACTCCTTCCCCAGGCCTGCTGGTTCTGGTTTTCTATGCAGATGATTTGTTGGACTGGGGATAGGTCTTTTGCTTTTCTGAGGGCAGCGTGAGCTTTTAGGGTTGGAGTTTGGGAAGGTCTGCCTTAGTCCCCTAGCCTAGCCACGAAAGGTTGAGGGGTCTAGGGCAATGGCCACCCAGTGAATCTAGCCTGTTATTCATTGCTTTGTATGCATTCTTTTTTTCTCCCTCTTTAAAAAACCCTTTAAAAAAAAAAAAGTAGATAGTGCTAAACATTTTAGCTTATGGAACTTGGTTATGATGTCTGGGGGTGCAAGTCCCCAAACTACCTCTTGCAGTAGCCAGGGTGAGTGAAGCGGTACTATAGGTTTGGAATGGGATTGGAGAAGTTGGGCAGGACCAGTGGCCTCTCGTACCTTCTCCTTTCCCTTTCTGAGCCCTCACATTCCATCTATCACAGGGTTCTCAAGGAGATGCTGGGGGAACCAAGGAGCTCACTTGGCAGTCAGAGCATCATGCTTGGAGGTTTGGGGTGCTCAGGCTGGGAGGGAATGCCATTCCAGAGGAAGAGCCGCAAACTGCCTTAATTTGAGCCCATTTCTAGCCCTGTCGCTGAGTGACTTGAGAGTTCTTGGTGTTCTCCTCTCCTTCCTTCTTCCCTGCCCTCTCTTCTCCCACGGGTGGGGAAAGGGTGTTTTTGGTAGAGCTTGGTTTCCAGAGCACCTGGCATATTCACTTCACATTCTCGAGTGGCGGTTTCATTATTTAGAATGCAGTATGGAACATCTTTTTCTATATAATCTTTAAAGCTTTACATGTGAAAAGGTGTAGGGAGGTGTTTCTAAAACACCTTAGAACTTTTTTCCTTAATATGAGAAAGCAAAAAAAAAAAAAAAAAAACCACAATTGAGATTTGCCTTTCAAACCCTCAGGTGTTGCCTCTAACCAGGTGGTCCTGGTCACCATCATAGTACTGGAACCGAGTAGACCTTGTTCCTTTTATATGTTTGTTCTGGACTCTTGGAGTGGACATGAGCTGGTCCCTACTGGAGTTTAGTTCCAATACATTTGCCTCCAGAGAGACCCCAGTGCCTTTTGAGAATGGCCAGGGTTTTCCCTACTTCTTGCCAGTTTTTCCCAAAGGAAACTCATCCCAAATACTTACGTTTTCCCCTGGGGTCCTCGAAGGAAAATGGAATTCTGGTTCATACTGTGGTCCCTTGTAACCTCAGGTTTTTAATGTGATCAATTTCAAATTTAAAAGATCCAGGAGGAAGTATTTTTACTATGCCAGTAATAAATTCTACAGAATATCTGAATTCTCAACACTGTTATGTTTCGGTATAAGTGGTGACTTTTTTTTTCCCCATGTGTATGAACTAGTTTCATTCCTGAAATAGAGCCACCCAATTTTGTGAGGAGGGGGGGAATTATATGTGGTTTTTGTACGAATGTTTGTTGCCAGTGTGTTGTTATTTTGGAAAAATGAGGGGAAAGGATTTGGGGACATGAAAGAAATGGATCAAGAAGGCTGATCTCCTTCTTTTTCAGTGAATAAATGGAACACCATTTCTGAATTCTAGTCCCATTCTCTGCATTCATGTACCAGTTTCTTCACGTGTCCTATGAAGAACCTACATATTCAGCCCCACCAGGTTTTGGTCATCAGTTAAAATTCACTGACCCAGGACTTCCTTTGTGATGCTTAAGGAAAATAGGGTTGGGTGTGTGCCTCATCCACTGTTTATGTCCATGGTCATCATGAAGAAGGATGAGTGGAAGTCCTTCAGGACGGGTGGGTAATCCTCCTGTGCCTCCAAGGGAGAAATAGGTTCACTTGATAAGCTGGAGAATGTTTGTCAGGATTCAATTTAGACAGCTCCAACTTGGAGGAGAGAAGATTTTCATAAACCTTGACCTGTTCCAGAGATAATGCTTGAGCAGCTACCACTGCAGACCCTGTGCAGGAAACAGAAAGAAGCCATTGCCTTCAAGATGCTTATGAACCCGGTGAGGTAGAAGAAGCCAATCCAGTATCTGTAGTGAGATGAAATGCCCACCTGGCTCCTCACAGACGTATACCAGGTTAAGCTTTGCCTTCCGACCTGTTCCAGCTCCTTCCTGTAGCAAAGCGAGCTAAAGCTAGCTGGTCTCACAGGATTCCTCTACTTTTCTAAGGGTGAGGAGGGAGGTTAATCCTTGATCTAAGCTCAGTAAAGACTGGTTGATAAATTTGAATGTGAAATTATTTTTTGAGCATAATAGAAACATGTACAATCAACCATTTCTCCAGAGGTACCCAGGTGCTTCGTGTTGAGTAATTCCACCATATGGGGTTAAGAACAGTAGTTTTCCAGCTTCAGTATGGACCAGGATCACTGCAGGCTTGTTAACAAGCTGCTGGGCTCTACCCTTATAGCTTCTGATTCAAAATAGGTCTAGAGCAAGTACTGAGAATTTGCCTTTGCAACAGGTTCCCAGGGGCTGCTGATCCCCACCATTTGAGAAGCACAGACTAAGAAAGTTATTTAGTAAGCAGTCTTAGTGCAAGATCTCTGCAATGCCTTGTAGCTCATTCTGTGAGACCATTTGTTCAATAAACATTTGAGGGCTTGCTATGTGCCAGGCATTGAACCTTGCACACAGTGGAGTCATCGTTGTGAATAAGGTAGGCAAGGTCCCTAGGCCACTTCCATTCTAGTGGGGTGGGCGTCTAGACCATAAATAGTTAATAAATATTTAGATAGTGCTAAGCATTGTTGAAGAACAATGTGATCAAGAGTTTTCTGGGGACAACTTTGAGGGGATAAGGTGTATAGTCTGAACTGGATGGTCTTTTGTGACTTCTGTCCTATTGGGTATGGTAACTAGAGGGTTTTCCAGGAAAACCTCCATCTGAATAACCAGAGTACCTTTCTCGTGGACACTATGAATGCTTGACAGCTTGTCTTTCTGAAAACCTCTCCGCCTGTGACTTCATTTTAAAGCCCCTGCTTTCTAAGTTGGAAGAACATAGCTCTTATTCATTGGCTCATGTTGAAAGGGGACTTCTTCCTGGCAACAACATGAAAGCACCTTGATCCTCTGTTAATGGAATGAGATGGAAAGGTGTATCACTGAAGGAAATGCTGCCCTCCTTCAATCCCAGGACCTTAGAGGTTAACCCCCCCTTGCCGTTGAGTCAATTCCGACTAATAGCGACCCTATAGGACAGAGTAGAACTGCCCCATAGAGTTTCCTAGGGTGTAATCCTTCTGGCTGGTGGGTTTGAACCTCCGACCTTTCAGTTAGCAGCCAACCTTTTAGCCAGTGTACCACCAAGGCTCCTTGTATCTTTGAGGTTAGCCCTGAATATTGAATCTCCTTGTGAGCAGCTTCTCCTGCAGCTTGTTTTCAGGCATGCCATTAGTGTCTAGCATCTTTGCTTCTGAACTCCGTGGTGACAGAGCTGAGACAATACTGCTATACACAAAGGGTGACTATAGGAAGAGAGAAAAGTTCCATAAATACCTAAACAGAGGTTCCAAAACTAACCATAGCTAGTTCCCTCTAGGTACCCCAACCCTGTCCCAAGAGAGGAGAGTGAAGTTTGGTACCTCTCTGCTCTTGCCGTACAGAACTGAAGCCATCTTTACTCCCTACTGCCCCAGAGGCCTTTCCAGGCCCTTCCAACCCCATGCTGAGAGCCACTATATGACCTGATTTTAGCAGTGACCTCATCCTTCAGGGGAGACCCCACCACCTATCCTTAGGATATGGCTTTTGCATGCCTTAGCAAAATAGTCATGCCTTAATACAGTACAGTGACCACCACCTTCAGACCTCTGAGATGGAAAAGAAAATGCCTCCCACTCCGGTGCTGTGACAAACCACCATCTACAGGGTCGTGAGGGTCCAGGAAGGGACTAGGAAGCAGCAGTCTCTTGAACCATATTGGCCCCTTTGTATAGGCTGATTTCTGTGTCTGGTTTAACCCTGACTCTGATGGGTCTCTCATGACAAACCAAATGCTTGTGGCATTCCTTGCTCTGATAAGCTTATTCTGCTGTCTCTTTCTTTGAAGAATGTTAGCTACAGGGTCCCAGAGAAGCATTTAGAGAGTCCACCTGCTGAGGCAAATCACTTCAGCAGACAAGCATAGTTGCTACAAATCTCAGCTTGTCTGGTGCTGTGTGGCTTCCTCCCAACTGACTTGGCTTTGGGGTAATGAAATTTCAGAGGCTTTTCCAATCTGGTTGCACACTCACTGCCTGGACAAGATGATCACCTCCAGATTATGATGTCCTTTGCCAAGGTGACAGCATGTGCTCAGTTGAGAATCCAGAGTTCCCTGAAACGAGGAGATGGCGGTCAGCACAAAGAACTCAAGCCCCTGGCTCATCGCCCCTTCCTCCCTCCTGGGAATGGTTCAAGGACATTCATTCCCTGCAGCCCAGAACCGTGCATCTCTGCCAGCACCCTGGCAGGAGAGGCCATGCTAGCTGTCCAACTCTGATGCTGAGTCTGGACCCACCCCCAGTGTTTCCTATTAAAGAGATCACAGCATTTACTCTTAAATGCCTGGGTGGGAGTTGGGAGCATGTGGAGGAGGTAGTGGCATAGTAGTTAAGAGTTAGGCTGCTAACGAAAAGGTCGGCAGTTTGAATCCACCGGCTGCTCCTTGGAAACGCTATGGGGCACTTCTACTCTGTCCTATAGGGTTGCTATGAGTCAGAATCGACTCGGCAGCAGGTTTGGTTTTTGGAGGAGGTAGGGCTTCCGTTCTGCCAAGTGAGGCCCTAGGTCTGCATCCTGATGCCCTTTCAGAGTTTAAGAAGCAGAAATAAAAAGGCTCTGCATTAAAATGAAAGGATTTGGGATCAAGATCTTAGTTCCAAGTCCTGGCGTTACACTTCACTAGCATGATCTTGGACAAAGTTGCTAATTCCCTTAGCATCATTTTGCAGATGTGTAAAATGGGGCCAATAAGATACTCATAGTATGGTTGTGAAGAATAAGACAAATTAGAGTATTAGGAAAACTGAAAACTCATTAAGTATTAGTTAATACTGAGGGATGCTGAGGACTTAAAGCCGGGAACTGTCTTGCTTCCTGTCCAGACCAAACTGCGCCCAGCCGTGGCAGTTGGAGCAGCTCCTGCCCTGGTCGGCAACCCCTCGATGAAGCCAGTGGCTTTACATGTGCAGGGAGGCAGGCTGTAGCCATGGCAATGGGCCTTGTGCCTGCCTTGGCACCGGAGGCATGTTGCCGAACCCAACAGGGACGTCAGAGGCATGCAGAAGTCACTGCCTCACAAAAAGTAGCTCTGATGCCCAAGAGCATGAGACTTTAATGTGGGGACATGGGTGTAAGCTCTAGATAGAAGTCAGGTTCCTTTTTTTTCACTCTCCAATTCACAGATCTTACATCTCTTTAGCCTTCCCCAGTCTCTGCCTAGGAAGAAAAAAAATTACATGCATTTGACAAACTGGTTAGCAAGCACTTTCACAAATACTGTGAAACTCAGGTTACTGACTCTCCCAGGGTCACACAGCTAGATCTGGTGCTGAATCCTACGTGACACGCGCCTGCCTGAATGCACTCGAATCCATCTTGTGGAGGTGTCGCCCCTTGGTGTGCTACGCTCAGTTCCAAAACTGCTCATGAGGTCTGCTAGGAAGGATCAGAATGGGGCTGTTTGAGTGGAAACAGTTGATTTAAAATCCCAAATTGAAGTGGTAACAGAGTTTGTCTCCAGGAAAGGGAAGAAGGTGGAAGAGGAGCAGACATTGAGGAAGAAGACATTTCACATTTCCTTCACTTTGTACCATATACTTGTTTGACTTAACTCAAAAGTTGAAGTTAAAGAATATATTTAACACAATATTTCAATAATATATTGAAAAGAAAATGAGAAATGTAAAGTTTAGGGAGAATTTCAACAAAGAGGTGGGAGAAGACCCCCAGCCAGATTTCTCTGGTGAAAAAGGTGAGAGTGGTTGTCATGCCCCAGACATGAAGGGAATCTATCACTGAGGCACCTTCTCAAACAAACCTGCCTCAGGAGGGGGAAGAGGAGGTAGGCATGTCCAGGAAGACCCTCAGACAGCCACCACCTGAAAATCAAGGAGACACCGAGAAGCAGAAGGACACAAACTTGTACATATAGGCAAAAAAAAAAGTGACATAAGCTACAGACAAGGAAAGCAGATGGAAACAAAGGGGTGTGTCGGTGTTAGTGGCCAACAGGTGAGTGCAGAGCCCTGAGTGACCTGCTCACAGAAGGTTTGTTTCAAACTCCAGAGGCTGTATGAACCCATGGGAAAGCCTCAGGAGGTCAGCCGCTTTGCAGAGAGCTCCAGACCCACGGTTCTGGGGTTGCATAGAGGTGGTTCATTTATAAGGTTTGTACCTTACTGAACCTCTTTGCCTGGTGCTACGCACTCAAGTGCCTTGCAGTGGGGAATTATTGCAGACAGGCCAGGTCAGAGCATAAGTGTCTAACCACCTGGGGCAGGCTGAGAAGACTTCCTTCACAGAGGGGAAGGTGATAAGAATTGAGCCTTCCCAGAGATAAGGAGGTGTTTGCCAGAAAGACCAGGATGGGAGGGAATGCCCGGCGAAGAAAATAGGCTGCAGCAGTTCAGGTGAGAGAAACAGGCCGTCAAACCATAGCAACCCCTCCGGGGACATGTATGAAAGATCAGGAGGTAGAATCTCCATCTTGATCACCTAAACGGTCCCCTGGGGCAGAAATGGCAGCAGCTCTCAAATACCAGAATTGTGGATCTCCTCGGACTGTGAAGCCAAACGTCATTATTTGGGTCAGTAACACATCAGGGAGCCTCCAAGAAGTGAAAGGGGGACTGAGATCCTCGTAAGATTTTCCTGGGCTTCCTCCAGTTCCGAGGGTTCTACTCCGGCAGGTCGGTTTTGGGGATAAGCAGGTGACAAGGCCGTGGCTCTGCTTCCCCACCTACTAAGGCTTCGTCATAAGTGGTCCTGGGCCGCCCTGTGAGTGGTGGACAGGGCTGCACGAACCACGCTAACGTTTGGTGCCCGCATGTCCCTGGGCTGCGAGGTAGGCCACCTGGGTCTACCCAGGAACTTGTGCTTTGGTGACCCGGAACACGTGGGAGGCGATGGCGGAGTCACAAACATTTACAGCCTTGGAAACCCTATGGAGCAGTTCTACTCTGTCCTATGGGGTCGCTAGGAGTCCGAATCGACTCAACAGCAGTGGGTTTTGGTCCGGATTCCAGGGAGGGAAGAAGAGAGGGAGGGACAGGGATTAAAGGATGCTCCCCAGGCTGCACCGAGGAGGCGAGAGCGGAGGCGGGACAGCTGCAGCCCCAGAGAGGGTCTCGCCCCCGTCCCCGGGCGGGCCGGGCTGTGCGCGGTCTGCGAGCGGCTCGGGCTGCACACGGATTACGTCTGATCCGATTACAGCCTAGGCCGTCAGCTTCGCCCCCTCCCCTGACGCTGCCAGCGCCCGCCCCGCCCCGCCCCGCCCCCGTGGGGACCTGGCAACCTCCGCAAGCACCTTCCTAGCCCCGAACGGGAGGCACGCGCTGCGCCCCGGGTGGACGCAGAGATCCGAGAGGATCCGTGCACCCCAGGTCCCGCTCGTTTCCAGCGGGGCTCAGGCTCCCTCACCCTCCCCCACCCCACCCGGCCGCGGCCTTCCCAGCCCCGCCCGAGCCTGCGGGTGTCTGGTCTGCGGCGTCCCCGCCTCGCCGCATGGCTGGTGGGTTCCTCGCGAGGGGGAGGGTCCGCGCAGCCCCTGCACCGGGAGGGCGGGACCGCGCCCCGCCCCGCAGGCCTCCAGCTGGTGCACCTGTGGTCTAACGCCACGCGCGGCGCTGTGCGCCTGCCCCTGCGCAACTCCGAGTCCGTTTGTGTCGGTGTCCCGGGCAAGGGGTCTGTCTGTCCTCCTGGCGGGCGGACTGAGCGGGTCCCGCGTCAGCGCTACGTGCGGCGGGGCGGGCGGGGCGGGAGGCGG